GGATTTTGATCCTTCCTTATTGGAAAAGATCATTCATTTCAACTCTCCCCCATGGAAAAAGGAAATCCCATTCAGAGTCAATATCAGTAATTCTTCAAAAGAAGATGCTGCTACTCTCCATAATATAATCTTCAAGCATAGAGATGAGAATACTACTTATATATATACTGATACCTCTTTTACACTAAAAGGTATTGGTATTGGTATAGGCATAGTTGCAATACAATCAAACGATCGAATCTCACATCAAGAGCAAACCAATATTGGTATAAACCAATTAGTATATAATGGAAAACTTTGTGGAGTTACTAGAGCTATCGAATATACAAGCTCAATTGCTCGACACAGCGATAAATTCAAAGTATATTCAGATAATCAGGCAGGCCTATACCGTTTGAAAACACCATCAGACTACCCAGGCCAAACATATCAAATACAAGCAATCAAAGCAGCCAAGGCTATTAAAGCAAAAGGAGCAGAAATATCCTTGAATTGGATCCCAGGGCACATATCGATGAAAGGGAACAAACTAGCAGATAAGCTAGCAAAGGAAGCAACCACCAAACCCTTCAACTCATATGAAACAAGCTTTGGTTTACTAGGTATGATAATCAAGCAGCACACTTCAGATCAATGGGTTTCTACCCTTAACCAATACAAACTCAGATCAAATCAATCCCCATCCACATACTCGAAACTATTTCCATAGAAAATTGGGTCTAAAATCAAATTACCAAACGGAACTAGTCGAAACACTGCTAGCGCATACTTTCAGCTCAAAATAGGCTATGGATATATTAAATCCTATTTACATCGGTTTAAATTCACCAATAACAAATGTATATGTGGTAATATTGAGGCACCACAACACCTTCTTATTAGTTGTCCTATATATAAAACAGAAAGAAAAGAGATTTTCAAAAATATACCATTATCCAAGATTACTATACAATTCCTACTACATACAAAAGTAGGAATTGAACTAGCTATCAAATTCATCAATACCACCAAAATTGCTACAAGGACATAGCACTTAACAAGAGCTCTTGAACAAGAAGAAACAGAGGAAGAAATAGTAGTGGAAAAGGAAGAAGTAGTTAAAAAGAAAGAAGTAGTAGAAGAGAAAGAAATAGTAGCAGTAGTGGAAGAGGAAGAAATAGCAATGAAGGAAAAAGAGGGTAGAGGAGTAACCCTCTTATAACCCTTGATATTCATATTTTCTTATTATATGCAATATATACAATAAGTGGGCATTGGTCCCCAGCATTTGTTTTCACTTCCCCAAATCGAATATATCTATTTTTGTAAAATAAAAAGTTATCTGCTAGTGCCTATAGGGTCTAGCCGTCCTATATAGTCTTAGACTGAAGATGGACGTAAATTAAATCAATCAATCAATCAATCAAT